CTGAATGTCGATCGCCCTGCACACATCAGTGAGGAAGAGGTTTAAAGACTCTTCCTTCGTTTTTCAGACAGAAACACATCAAACAGAAGTCAGCTGAGACGCTTGTAGAAAAAAGCTAAAAATGTTTTCTTCTCAAAAACAACCACGACTTATTTTCGATCACATCTTTGTTGTCAGAGTAGACGCAAAGCCAAATTCTTCATATTACCTGTGGGTCATGCATGCAGTGTGTGTGTATGTGTGTTTGTCTGTGTGTGTCTGTGTGTGTGTGTGCTCTCCCATGCCGCTGCATATGCCGGCCTGGCATGGAAGCGGAGCTGGCCGGCGACCATATTTGGGCGTAACGGGCCAGAATCCAACAGTCTAATTTGGGTCTGGCCGGGACGACACAGTTATTATTTTCCTCTGGACCATCAGGCAGAGGACACACAGCCATCTGCTGCGCACACACACACACACACACGCACACACACACACACACACACACACACACACACACACACACACACACGTCTCAATTAGATCACTAAGAGGGCAGCTGCAAGCATTGCCTCTTCTCATAAACACACACACACACATTAACATTTACATGAACACACACACACGGTGCTGGGCTGTTGGATCAACAGGGTGTTACAGACAGACAGATTCTCCTGCTGTCTGTCTAACAGGAAAGAGACAGGAAGTCTGTCTTCGTCCACCTGTTTCATGTCCATTTTAAATGAGAAACAAACGAAACAAAAAGCTGACGAACGATATAAAAAAAAAATTATTATCCTGTTGACCTTCTGAACGCATGATGTGACAAAAAGCTTTGGGTCACTCACCTATGACATGACAATTATTGATTCCACGAGACAGGAAGTAAAGACAGGAAGTAAAGGTTGGAAATAGACAGGATGTAAAGACTGGAAGTAAAGACTGGAAGTAAAGACAGGAAGTAAAGACAGGAAGTAAAGACAGGAAGCAAAGCCTGGAAGTAAAGAGAGGAAGTAAAGACAGGAAGTAAAACTAATTGCTGCATCGATTAGGAACATATTCGATTAAAAAATATATATTTTTTTAAATCAGCGACACACTTCCCTGATTTCTGGGCTGAATGATTATTCAAGATCCAATAATATGAACGGAAAGGTTAATTGATCATTTAATCATCATTTTGGTTGCAGCTCTGGAACCAAGCAAGTTCATAAAAACAGAACATAAAAGAACAGATAAATATCTTATAAATGAAATAATGAAACTCTTAAAGCTGTGAAGGTGATTCCACATCATGGATTTGCATGCACCGCGTTAAATATCAGTACAATATATAATATAATAATATAGTTTTTAGTCATTTTAAAATGACAAATTCAACATTTAATTTCCTGTTTTGTAATAATTTGATTCGACACCTGCTGCACGTCTGCACCTCCAGTCAACGTGGACGTTAAACAAACAACCAAAAGAAACTGCAACTTTTTTATTATCGTAAAGAATTAAAATTCAGAAAGATAGAAGAGGAAGAGGAGTGCATGTTGGAGTTGGGGAGGGGGTGGGAGTGGGGCTCTAACTTTGCTAAGCGGCCGTGTTTAATTACCGCTCTTTGTTAATGACTCTATTAACGGGCTGTTTGATTGGCCGGCCACGTCCGCCGTCTCCCCAACGAGACGCCGAAGAAACGACTTAAACCGACAAATCCTCTTTACACATAAATCTGCCTGAAGATTGTTTCAGCGCCGGCCACCGAGCGAGAAAATTCATAACCTCGTCAATTTGTCAAAAGGCTTAAAAAGAATCCCCCCCCCCACCACCACCCAGCCATTTTTCCTGTAACGATCTAATTAAAGTTGAAAAATAATTAGCGATATATTTTCCTTCCTTTAAAAAAGAACTGCGGAGAAGGAAGGGCAGTGATTAAAGAAGAGGAGGAGGAGGAAGGAAGAGCAATTAAGAGGATGGAGGTTGACGAACTCTGTGTACACATGTAGGATTACAGGGTGAGACTCGAACAAGGCAAAGACAAGCTCTCTCTCTCTCTGTCTGTCTTTCACTTCCGTTTTTTTTTTTTTTTTTCTTAAATCGGCGTGCCACTTCTTCAGCAGCTGATAAAAGCCGAGAGAACAAGATAACCAGCTCAGCGGAGCTGTCGGTAAAAGCTTAGGGGGCCCAATTTGACAATTAATCAATTATTTGATAGAAATCATCAATCAATCTTGGAGGGGGAATTAATCCAGGAGGGAGTGGGGGAGAGAGATATAAAGAGACACAGTGACAGAAAGAGAGAGAGGGGGAGAATGATGTGCCTTCCTCTGTAATTTGGTAAACTGATTGGCCTTTTATTCCTCGCTCCCATATCTGAGAGCTTCCTATATCTAATTCACAGAGACAAGGAGTTCACATTAAACTAATGGAGAGAGAGAATGGGGGCGGGGGGCTAATGCATGTCGGTAAATATGACTTTCTTTCCAGAAAACGATGGACAGATGCTGCATCTCGGTCTCATAGAGACAACAAAACTACTGAGTTAGGTTTAGGAAGAGGTTTGTGGTTTGGGTTGAAATAACTGCAGAAGTGTTTTTACTGAAGTTATGTGACAAATAAATCAACGTTGACTTTTTCACACGGGGAACAAACAGCGGTCTGCTGGGTTAAATTACGGTTTGGCTTTTTGAAATCTTTATACTTCCTGGTTAAGGATTACATTGATTACATACAAATATATTTTGTGGGATATGTATATCTACTATATCTATTATATCTATCTATCTATAGCTTTGAGTACTGTACGAGAACAGCCTGCAGAGTGATAAGCTATGTGTGGCCGAACAGCTGCCAGTTTACACACATTCATGCACGCCACAACAAATTCCCACAATTATGTCACTGCAGCTTTGTTGAGGACTTGGCAGCTATCTCTCAAAATACCAACTGAATGCAGCTTCCTGTCGACAATTGGCTCGTTGATCTGTGCAGCCACCACCAAACACCTCTCATTACATCTTTCTCCCCAAAACACACCAGCAGCAAAGGAAGCCAGCACTGTGGATGGATTACTGAAGCTCAAACTGTCAGGGGCCCACCTGCCCTTCAACTACAAAATATCAATCAAATAGACAAGTGCCAGCCAGGAGGACATCAAAAACAAACATAGAACAACTAAAGAGAGACTCGCAGCTAGTATGAGGGGTAAAACAACCACAAAGATACACAAAATAACTACAAAGATACATCAAATGACTACAAAGAGACACAACATGACTACAAAATGATTTAAAAAAGACACAAAGAGACACAAAGAGACACAAAGTGACGACAAAGAGACCCAAAACAACTACAGTGAGCCCCACAAAGAATAGCTACAAAGAGATACAGAATTGCTACAAAGAGACACAGAGTGGCTACAAAGACACACAGAATGACTACAAAGAGACAGAATGACTACAAAGAGACAGAGTGACTACAAAGAGACACATAAAGACTACAAAGAGACACAGAATGACTATAAAGAGACACAGAATGACTACAAAGAGACAGAATGGCTACAAAGAGACACAGAATGACTACAAAGAGACACAGAATGACTATAAAGAGACACAGAATGACTATAAAGAGACACAGAATGACTACAAAGAGACACAGAATGACTACAAAGAGACACAGAATGACTACAAGAAAACAAAAAAACACACAGAGATGCAAAACGACTAAAGACGGATGTAGGAGAGGTGGTGGGTTCTCTTTTTTAAAGACCGTGCTGAGGAGCTCATTGACTCATAATCTGCCCATGCCCTCCACATTTTGAAGATTAGATGCTGTAAATAAATGTCAAGGTTCAAAGTGTAAAGAAATGCTCTCCTTGTTTTCTAACTGTTGTGTTAGAATAACAATAAAAACGTAACTAGTGTCTGTTTTAAGGATGAGAACTCAACGCATGCATCGGTGGTTGCACACAGTGAAGGAACAAGTCTGCAGAGGAGATGGTGTCTGACATGCTGAGACCTTTACTGTGGTGCATTCAAGCACTGCAGGAATCTCCGACATGCGAGTCTCAGCTGATTAACAGCAGCGGAAGAAGCTCTGAATGTTATTTGACCTTTTGAAGAATGACAACATTGTGAGTGAAACTAGATCGTCTTTGACGGCTGACAATTACATTTCAGATATCCCACAAAAATACAAAATTACAAATGTCAATATTAACAACATAAAGACTTCTGCTCTTCATCAAGACACAGAAATAAACACCGAGCGGAGATTAAAGTCGAATGAATGTGTTTGAAGGTATTTTACAGCACGTTACTTCTTTACTGTTTTTATTAACACGTTAGCAGTTTACACAGAAGCCATGACGTAGACAGGAAAATGTTTGAATCCCTTTTAATTCAGCAACACACACTCACAGACACAGACACAGACACACACTCACACACTCACACACAGCTTGTCAATACCGACTTATTAGCGCCTCCAAGGCCGATGTGTCGACCTTCAGAATGGACGTCTGTCTCTATTAACAGGAACTGGTGGAGAATGAACCAATTGAGACGAAGAACTCGTTACCAAGCTGACACACAGAGTACAATGACTTGTCCCCGACACACACACACACACACACACACACACACACACACACACACACAGGAATAAAATATGCGTCGTCGCTCGCTGCACAAATCAACAACCGTCCAACGAGCTGATGAGATTTGAAATGAGCCTTAATTTGTTGGGAATTGTCTTTGGTAATGATGAGGGAGAGAGAGAGACAGAGAGAGAGACAATCAGAGAGAGAGAGGGGGAGAGAGAGAGACAGATAGAGAGAGAGAAAGAAGAGAAGAGAAGAAGACCGACAGACTGAAACATTTGCAAGAACCAAGTATAAAACCAAACTGCTTTGACTGAACAGAGAAGCTTCATTTGTGTGTTTGTATGGACAAGATAGAGGACAGACAGACAGACAGACAGACAGACAGGCAGGCAGACAGACAGGCAGACAGACAGACAGGTGTCTGACTCACCTGTGACAGTCCCAGGTAGATGGAGACGGTCTCGGAGATGTAGAGGAAGCGTCCCTCCTTGTTTAGTGCAAATACAAACCCGTCCAGAGACTGAAAACAGAAACAAAGACACAACAGAGAAAGAAGTTTAACTCACTTCAGAGAAAATCTCTATTATTAAAATGTTCCACTTCCAGTAAAAAAAGAAAGAAATGCAAATTAGCCGATTTTACATCGACTGGTTTGGAGCAAATAAACTCAGCTACAGTGTAGTTTAGTCAGAAGGTGGCGCTAAAGGCTCCACATGTCTGTAATCTACCAGTGAACACAGTAGAAGAAGAAGAAGAAGAAGAAGGTTGTGAAGAGGAAACTAAACAAGTCTCCTAACCATCTACAAGAGGAACATGGAGAGAGAATTAGCTTTCATAGTTCTTTCATGTCAGCTGGTGTCGTCCATGTTTCAAGTTGTCTGGAGACGATAGAAGCATTCAGAAACAGCTGATCGGTCATGTGAGTTAAATGTTCATTATGTAACAAAACACGACTCAAGCAAGCATTAAAAACTGTTTTTTCTCCATGATACTTTGAAGGAAACACGACTACTGAGAGCTGTAGAAACACTCAACAGTGATATCTGTAAACTGCAGAGCATTGCATTGTGGGATTGTTAGCAGAAAGCAGAGAGCATCGTTTTTAAGGGTCTTTTATGATGGAGAGAGTAAATATACAAAGTACCTTTCTAGTAAATACACACAACCACCAACACTGGTGTATACTTCAACAGTACTGCAGTACTACAAAGGAGGTCTGTGTCTGACAACATCAGATATGTGGACAGGTAAGTCTGCACACACACACACACACACACACACACATCAAGGTGTGTCTAATGGTGTATTTATGAGAGGATCACGGCGCAACAGTCGACTTCAGCAGTGAATCACACACACACACACACACACACACACACAGACGGATCAGAGTGTGTCTAATGCTATCGTTATGTGAAGATCATGGCAGAACACTCGACTCCTTGAGCACAATACACTGATTCAAACACACACACACGCACACAGGCATTAATACTCCTGAGGTCAGGCAGGCTAATTACATGTGGTTCCCTACTGTTGCTGCTGCTGATACACCACCGTCTGTGTGTCTGTGTGTTATATCCACTCGTATATATATTTATATATATATATATACTGTATATCTATATATGACTATATCTTATTATATGATATTAATATTTTATGAATATTAATTGTTTGAATGCACGTGTGAGAGGGAGCGAGACAGTAATATCTCCTTACAATCCGTACAGATTTTAAATATCTTTATATTTATATATTATAGGATACATATTACACAGAAGATGAGGTGCACATGAATCAACACTTTAAGGTTGAAGGCAATGCTGTGATACACAAAATAAATTTAGATATTTTAGTGTTTTATCTCATACAAGATGCTGTTTGAGTTAACCCTTTGATGCGAGTTTAGAGGGAACACAGCTCCTATGACATTTTAAAAGGCTTTAATTTTGAAAGTCCACATCAGAATGTCGTTTCTGAGTCACACTCTGAGGTGGTCTGCTTTTATTTTGAAGTCAGATTGGTCTTTGGAAAAGTCTTGTTTATTGTTAAGTTTGATTTACTGAATATTTGACACTTTATTTATCATCTAATATTCATCATTATTTTTTATTTACCCAAGTATGTTTTTTATGTATTTAGTATTGACATATTGACTGACTTATTCAATAAAATAAATACATTTCCTATCACATTTAGCTGAATGACGCTTTTATTTTGAAGTCAGCTCTTACGGTCTCTTACCGTAATGTCTAGAATAAACAAGTAACGTGGGGGGCAGCGGAGGATGTTTGGAGAAATATAGAATTGATCATGTTGTCTAATTTTGACATTTAACCTCTAATGCCTGCCATGATATATGTGTGTGTGTGTGCTGCTCTGCCTGTGTCCATTTAGTCTGCTCTCTCAGCTAACGAGATGTTAATGAGATGTTAATCGTCAATGAGCCTCATCAATGTCCGTCCATGCTGGGTTGCTCATTAACACACACCCTGTCTCATGTCATCTGCGTGTGTGTGTGTGTTGGTCGTCTGTGTGCATATATGCGTGTTTGTTACGTGCACAAAGTCCTGTATCCGTGTGTTCTGATCCAGGTTTTTTGCTGCTCTCTGTTGTCGCCCTTCACATGAAATGTGTTTGTCCTCCAACACGTCACTTATCCTCAGATGACATTTCAAACCATTTAAACCTACGTTTGATGCTAACTAGCTTAGCATGACGTAATCTCTGATATTTTCAGGAGTTCTGACTTTTTTTCTCAACCAAAGTCCCTGAGTAGATATCAATGTTTTAGGATTATATTCATAGTTCTCTTGTGGATATCGGCACTGTAACTACAGACAGATGTGTCATGAACAGGCTGTATTGTGTTTTAATTATATTCATCATAAAACTGTGTTTCAGTTCCTTCATTTCTTATTGTGACGTGGGCACTTATATCCAGATAGCTGCTATTTCACTGTGTGTTATAACTAAATACAAGACCATGTTGATGTTCATTCACTGCGATAGAGAGCCGCAGTCACGCTGAGCAGAAGGTTTAGGGTGGAGCATGTCTTTGTCAGATGTATAAACGTGAAAGACTGATATCTGACAAAAAAGTTTCTCCTCATTTTTTATGCGTTCTCCTTAAAAAGTCCAGCAACACGAGTCAATTTACTTTATTATTACACTTCCGTCTTCACAGGAAACTACTGAGTTAGGTTTAGACAAAAAAACTACTGAGTTAGGTTTAGACAAAAAAACTACTTAGTTAGGTTTAGACAAAAAAACTACTTAGTTAGGTTTAGACAAAAAAACTACTGAGTTAGGTTTAGACAAAAAAACTACTTAGTTAGGTTTAGACAAAAAAACTACTTAGTTAGGTTTAGACAAAAAAACTACTTAATTAGGTTCAGATAACTAAACTACTTAGGTTCAGACAACATAACTACTTAGTTAGTTTCAGACAACTAAACTACTTAGTTAGGTTCAGACAACTAAACTACTTAGTTAGGTTCAGACAACTAAACTACTTAGTTAGGTTCAGACAACTAAACTACTTAGTTAGGTTTAGACAATAATAATAATAATAAATCAATTTTGTATAGCGCTTTTCAAGGTACCCAAAGACGCTTTACAAGGCAGAGACAAACAGAACAAACAAACAAACAAACCAAAAAACAACAACAAACCAAAAAAACAAACTACTTAGTTAGGTTGAGACAACAAAACTACTTGGTTCGGTTCAGACAACTAAACTACTTAGGTTTAGGCAACAATTCAGTCCGTCATTGTGACCTCAATGACGGAAAAAACATACCACAATTCGCTGGTCAAAAATATTTTTTTTCGACTTCCATTTGAGCTTGATTTTGGTCAAATATTAATTACATAATGACACACAGAAGTATCTAAACCATATCTAAAGACACATTACCAACTTTGACAACACAGCTTCCAATTATCTTACAGTGGAGTAAAAGTACAATACCTCCCTCTGTCATGCAGTAGAAGTGCGAAGTAGCGGAAAATAAAAATTAAAAACAATTAATACGTAATACGTAGTTGCATTTTACCAGTGGTGCACATGTATGCTATTAAAATGAAAGTAGTAACAACTGACAGTAATAAGCCGATACGTTGACTTCTCTTTATTGCAGAAGCATCTTTTTGGGAGTGGGCTTAGAGGATTCACATGAAACCTCATGATATTAAACTTTAGGGTTACGTGACACGTTTTTTGCTGCCTCAGATCCATTGTTGTCGTAGATGCGTGGAAGTCTCCTGACAAACCTTCCATTGGCAGTGTTTTGCTTCCATTACGGAGGCTGGTAGTGTGACACACTGAGCCTCTGCAGGTCACGGATCAACTCGTGCCGCTTTTAAAAGTAACACAACACAACGATGGAAAAAGAGGCTGAGATGTGGAGATAATCACAAGCTGTGTTGCTCTCCATATTTATTTTTTTACAGTTTTATCATCTGGTCTGATTGAGGTCCAGGTTTTTAGCAGCGAGAGGCTCCAGGTGAAGGAAACCAAATCTGCCCGTTTCAGAGGGATTAAAAACGGATTAATTAGAATTGGAAAGCGAGTTGAAAGGTGGAAGTGTGTGTGTAAATTATGCTGATATGACGTTGATGTAAACACACACACAGAGACAGAGATGTGCAGTAAACAAACATAACCTTGCTGACTGCTTCTCTAAATCCCAGGTTGCCTCCCGGAGGTTAAACAGGCCTCAGATTATTAGAGCAGCAGCTCCAAACCAGAGCTCGCTCCAAACATTGTTTTCAGCCGCCTGTTTCGGTTTACACCGGGAATAATGTACGAGGGGGCCAGGGTCCCGAAAAGGTCGGCGAAAAGGTTGTACAAGATGCACAAAGGTCGGTGTAACACTCAGAGAACAATATTCAAGCCTCAGCAGCTGACATTTTCTGCAGGAGCAGCAGCTTGCTTCAAGGAAACGAACCCAACGCTGCCTCCTCCTACTTTTATATCTGTGAAAATGTGCAGTGACGTTCTGATTGTTTGTTAACAGCAGAGTGTGTTTGGGGTTACTGGATATTTATAACAATGATTTGCATATTTTGTATCGCACAAAGCCAGTTAGTTCAGCTATGACCTGGTAGATACAAGTAGAAAGCAAAGGAAGCTAAAGAGACACTTTAACAAGATTTAAAATGACACAATAAAATGAAAACTGAAACAATCTCTACTCATATTCAGTTAACTTGGAGGGGGAGCCTCATCTGAGCCTGATTAAAGTCAGGTCCGGGTCTGTCCCAGGCAGCAACCTCCGGGTCTGAACAGTAAAGCCAAAGCTGTTAAAGCTGCATTATCTCTAGTGTCCACCAGGGGGCGACTCCTCTGGTTGTATAGAAGTCTATGAGAAAATGACTCTACTTCTCTCTTGATTTATTACCTCAGTAAACATTGTGAACATG